CTTTCTACTTGTTTAGCATTAGCTTTCTCTAGTGTTACCGTCCACTAAATATTTACTTGGATAGTAGTTTAGCTTTAGCTTCCACTAACTTTTACTTGTTTAGCATTAGCTTCCTGTAATGTTAGCATTCACTAAGTTTTTACTTGTTTAGTAATTTAGCTTTAGCTTCCATTACATTTTACTTGTTTAGCATTAGTTTCCTCTAGTGTTACCGTCCACTAAATATTTACTTGGATAGTAGTTTAGCTTTAGCTTCCACTAACTTTTACTTGTTTAGCATTAGCTTCCTGTAATGTTAGCATTCACTAAGTTTTTACTTGTTTAGTAATTTAGCTTTAGCTTCCATTACATTTTACTTGTTTAGCATTAGTTTCCTCTAGTGTTACCGTCCACTAAATATTTACTTGGATAGTAGTTTAGCTTTAGCTTCCACTTATTTTTACTTGTTTAGCATTAGTTTCCTCTAGTGTTACCGTCCACTAAATATTTACTTGGATAGTAGTTTAGCTTTAGCTTCCACTTATTTTTACTTGTTTAGCATTAGTTTCCTCTAGTGTTACCGTCCACTAAATATTTACTTGGATAGTAGTTTAGCTTTAGCTTCCACTTATTTTTACTTGTTTAGCATTAGTTTCCTCTAGTGTTACCGTCCACTAAATATTTACTTGGATAGTAGTTTAGCTTTAGCTTCCACTTATTTTTACTTGTTTAGCATTAGTTTCCTCTAGTGTTACCGTCCACTAAATATTTACTTGGATAGTAGTTTAGCTTTAGCTTCCACTTATTTTTACTTGTTTAGCATTAGTTTCCTCTAGTGTTACCGTCCACTAAATATTTACTTGGATAGTAGTTTAGCTTTAGCTTCCACTTATTTTTACTTGTTTAGCATTAGTTTCCTCTAGTGTTACCGTCCACTAAATATTTACTTGGATAGTAGTTTAGCTTTAGCTTCCACTTATTTTTACTTGTTTAGCGTTAGCTTCCTCTAGTGTTAGCATTCACTAAGTTTTTTATTTGTTTAGTARTTTAGCTTTAGCTTCCATTACATTTCACTTGTTTAGCATTAGTTTCCTTTAGCATTGTGTAGTGGTTTAGCTGAAGCTTTAGCTTCCACTAATTTTTACTYGTTTAGCATTAGCTTCCTGTAAYGTTAGCATTCACTAAGTTTTTACTTGTTWAGTGATTTAGCTTTGGCTTCCACTACTTTTTACTTGTTTAGCATTAGCTTCCTCTAGCACTGTGTAGTGGTTTAGCTTTAGCTTTCACTACATTTTACTTGTTTAGCATTAGCGCCCAAAATAAATAATAAAAAAAACATGATTAGAATGGGGTGTTCTGAACTGTAATTTCATTGTGCTTTGTACAATGACAATAAAGGTCTATCTTATCTTATCTGATCTTCTTATCTTATCTTATCTTATCTTATAACGTTACCAGCACAATCTTTGTAGTTAGTGTATTATGAGTTAGCAAAGCTAACTTTTTTGTTAGCTGTGCTCATCACTGTTTATTTTAATAGTACTCTTTATATATATATATATATATATATATAATTAAGCTCACAAAGTTGGGTTGTGAAATCAGGGGCACCAACAATGGGGGATACTAGGAGGACAATGGCTTCCCATTTATTTGCCCCACCACCACCTTGGCCAGACATTGTTTGTTAGCAAAACACCACAYGAAACACTGGATATGTTTTAATTAAATTTACAGAAAGTAATAACTGAATTTACATCTAGTTTTTGGATCCAATCCATTTTAATACATTTGTAAAATGGACTGAATTATACGTATTTTGTGGGGTTGATAAAARCCCGTTGACCAATTTCTGCAAAACAGCAGAGACACCGGAGAACGTCCTCTTAGACAAAGCAGCAATCAACTCCCCAACAAAACACAAAGTCCAAAGAGCAAACCACATGTTCTTATAATAGGTTGGGTAGTAATAAAAAAAAAGAACAACCTTATAAATTTACAGTGTAGTTTTCCAAACTGGGCACGGTGAGGGGACAGGTAACACACCTGCCTGGCACACTGTAACGCCCCGCCTCAGCAAATACAAAGTGGACGATYAAGATAAATAATTGCTCAGCACGACGTTCTATTTACTTTACTCGTACATATTTACCTGCTATCGCCTGGCAAACGAAACAAAACAACAAAAAAATGTGCTCGTTTTTATCACCAATAGGTCGTCAAGAAATGGCCAAACCCTGACAGAACTGCCTCGCGTCAGGACTCAAAGCACGTGTTGGGGATTACTCTCAGCTACTACCGTGCTACATTTGAGCTCAATATCTGTAAAAATGACTGAGTTGTTATGAYTTTTGTGTTTGCTAAACTTGCTTAGTTGTGGCGGCCATCTTGAACGGGGCTGACTCCAAATAGTTAACCAGATACAAACGCATATTGAATGAGAGTTTCATTTCAATTAATCTAATGGTTCATGAGATATTTTGCTAAMWGACACACACATTATCACCTTTGCTTTTGGTGACAGGTGATTTAAAATAAGCAGTGTGAAAGTACTTTTATCAACACGGTCATTTCTAATTTTCACAACTTTAATAATTGTTGGGTTYCGAGCAGCTAAAACAGGATTTTTTCACAGCAGTGGCTGCACTCTGTGAGGGAAAGTCACAGTTTTGTCAAAGCGAGAGAGAGAACGAGGGAGATAGGCCATGCTCTGTTTGGCTTTCTGTGGTTTCCTTTGACACAAAGTGGTCTCTGATGTCAGAACCCTTCATTAACCATCACTGCTCCTCACAGACACCGCTGCACCTCAACTCAAGCACCAGCAGCTCAGGTTTTTAGTTTTAGGTTSTTAATAAACACTAAAACATGGCCTGAGCTAAAGCTAAAGCTAACATTACAACTGCCTTGCCTTCAAGTCCCAAAATAAACTTGTTACAAATGTACAGTCAGGTGAATTTTGGACGACTTAACAGTTTGACTTGTATAAAAAGGAAATAAAACACAAAAAATACAAGTTTCCTGTTACTGAAATTAGTAGAAGGTTCTGCAGCATGCAAATCATCCCCGAAAGCCTCGCTTCACCTAGAGAGGTGCAACAATAAACAGACTATTAGTAAACTGCACTTCTCATATGAAAAAAACAGACAAATCCAGTCATTCCACCTTAAAAAAGGCAAAGWGAGAACCAGCGGCTGACGCACACCCCCCTCTAGTGGTCACATGGAGAATTGCACACCGAGTTGAACGTCCGCTTCATGAATGAGACACAAGAAGCTGCATAAATTACTGTCCTTTTAAAGAAGCACTTGATATTTATATTTAGCTCGTTGTGGCTCCCTCTTAGCCAGACAAAGAGGGTTTAATTAAATCCTGAAAAACTAYTTGTTTTTTGTAATTGGAAGCACAAAATCACAAGAAGCTAATTTCAAACAGTCTGTAAACAGTGGAAATAATGAAAAATGAGGYRATAGTTGTTATTTTTAACAACGTGYTTGTGTTAAAATAACTCACATATAGATGTTGAA